CCCCAACTTCTCGCTCCCCCCTTTTCCAGAGGCCCCGAAGGTGCAGCTGTACACCCGCACGGACGCCGTGCTCGGGCAGGAGAACGTCCTCAACTGCTTCGTCAGCGGGTTCCACCCTCCTCAGATCGAGGTGTCCCTGCTGCGGAACGGGGAGCCCCTGAGCGGCGTCAAGTACGCGGACATGTCCTTCAACGACAAGTGGCACTTCGAGCGCCTGGTCTACGTGCCCTTCACCCCCCGGAAGGGTGACCTGTACACCTGCAAGGTGGCCCATTCCACCTTCAGGGAGCCGCAGATCTTCCGGCTGGGTAATGTCCCTTCCTCCCGGTGCTTTGCTCGGGTGCGGGAGCCAAACCTCCCTCGTTTATAGCCCGGTGTCTGTTTCCCTTCTCAGGGAACAGGGGTGGATTTCAAAAGTCTTGGGCTACAGATGGGAAGCTAACTTGGTTTTGGCAAAAGGGTTTGTGAGTGGCAGGGGGGGAAGACTTGTCCTGTCATTACCTGTGCCGACTTGGCCAGGCTGTGTCTGACAACCCCCAGCAGAGCACTCTGGTCGTTTCCTGGGTGAACCTGCCTAGAAAGAGGCTGTGCAGTGATTTTTGGCTTTGTATTTGGTGAATGTGGGAAGGATGCAGCGGTGGGGTGGGAGCGTGGTGACCCTGCTGCAGCAGGGAGAGCCAGGCCAGGGCAGTGGGGTGTTCCCAGCATGGTGACCCTGCTGCAGCAGGGAGGGCCAGGCCAGGGCCGGGGGGGGCTCCCGGGAAGGATGCAGCGGTGGGGTGGGAGCGTGGTGACCCTGCTGCAGCAGGGAGAGCCAGGCCAGGGCAGTGGGGTGTTCCCAGCGCGGGGGGCTGGTGGGTGAGGTGGGGGGTGTTGTCCCCACAGCCTGACACTGTTGTTTCCCGCAGAGGCAGACTTCTGAGCTGTGCCTGGGGTCATCACGGTGAGTTGTGCTGATGCTCCAAGCTCTGCTGGTGAGGCAAACCAGGGCTGCTTGCTGCTGGGGGGAAGCCTGTGGCTTGTGGAGCTGAGGATCAAAGGCCCAAGAAAAGAAACCTATGTGTGTTGCTGCTGACTGGGAGCCAGGCTGTGACAACACCCTTTTACCCACTGTTTTGGCAAATTCTCAACCACACCTTGCCTCCTGGGCTGTAAAGAAAGAGCCTGTTGGAGCAAAACTTCCTTGTGTATCTTTGACAAGGCTGCCAGGTATCATTTGGAGTTGTCACAGGTCCTCTAGTGCCTCCCCAGTGCTGTCCTCTGTCTGGTGAGGTTGCTGTACCTGGAAACCCTTGTGACTTGGGGTGGGGTGGGCTGGCTCACCCTGCACCAGTGTCACCTTGCTTGTGTGGGATTTATGAGGCACAGATCAGCCCCCTGCTGCCAGACCAGGAGCAGTCTTGGTTTTATTCACCAGTGTCTCACAGTCCAAGTGCTCTGGGTTCTTCAGACTATCTGGGCATAACTGATCTCAATTCAGCAATCCACTAATAGAAGCTGGGTAATTATTAACTGTGCCCAGGATGAGCCTGGACAACACCTTGCTTGAAATGCCCTCCACATTGGAATCAAATTCAGACTTTGTAAACCAGAAAAACTCTCTTGGGAATTTCTTATTGGGAAGATGTAGATGGATCTGAGTCCTTCACTTGTGACTGGCTCCTGGTGTAGAGCAGCAGAGGGTTGCAGGGGTGTGAGACTTCCAAGGGCAAGAGAAGTTGCAGGTCAGTTGACTGTCTTTGTAGAGGAGGGCAACAGGACATAAGCTCTTAATTTAGAGTGGAAAAGCTGAGATGTAAAATTGGGTGGGGAAAGGGCTGGACAGACCCCCCAGAGCCAGGATGATTGGACTGGAAGGATATTTAGCGGGGATGCCATAAGTGCTTTAGTGTTCACGTCTAACTGCTGCTTGAGACGGGATGCTGAGGTGAGGACACCCCATTGATACAGATGCTTTTAGGTGACAGAGCTCTGAGAAGTTACGTGCAGCTGCTCTGCTGGTTTGTCTCTTGCTTTTGGGCAGCTGGCATGGAGACCTGGTCTCCAGGCAGGGTCTGGCTGTGCTGTGCCCGCGTGGTGTTCAGCTGCTTTGGTGGGACCATGAGGGTCCCCCGTGGGGAGGGATGCCAAGCTTGGCTGGGGGTGGGACACTGGTGGCTTTGCTGGAGTCTGGCAACGAGGGTTTTCTGAGCTGGGGTGGAGGATTTGAGAGCAGGAGAATGGGAGAACATCCGTGCAGCTGGTGCTTGGGGTGGGCAGCAGTGACCATGTGAGGAGAGGGTTGCTTGTTGAACTCTGAGCCCCCACTGAGGAGCAGTTCCTGCAGGATTTGTACCTGTGATTGGCAGGTGTGTCAGGCTGCCTGCAGCCTGGGGCTCTGCAGCCAGAGCTCCCTGGTGGCAAACAGGTTTGCTCCTAAAACATTGGCAGTTGAAGGTGTGAACAGAGGGACTGATGTCACTCTCCTTTCTCCCGTGCAGGTCTGAAAAATTCTGCTTTTCAAGTCCAAGTCTTCTTGCTTCTGCCCTTCCCTCACCTGTTACTCGTGGAGGATGAAGCACAACTGTCCTGTTTGCAGAATTCCTACTTTAATAAAGCTGATACAACGTTTACTCAAAGCAGGGTGTGACTGAGGCTTATTGACCACGTCGCTGTAAATGTCCATCATTATGAAATAACCCTGTTTTAGCCTTGGCAGCTCTGAGTTGTGCAGGATCTCAGCACGTTTGGGAATTCCACGGGCTGTGCTGGCTGCTGTGGGTGGATCTGCAGCACCGGGCAGGAGCTGTGCTCTGTGAGATCAGAAAGGAATAAGAGATAAAGGTTTATGTGAGACCTGCCTGGTCCGGCCCCCCGGGGCGGCACAGGAGCCGCCCAAGCGCTGCCACCCCCGGGGCTTCGTCCTCAGGAGCATCGCGGGGTAACGGCAGGAAAACCTCGCCCTGCCCGGGCACCCGTGGAGCTGCAGAGCAGGGGACTGAGGTGACCGAGGTGACCGTGCCCTCCGGGGGCACCGACGGGCTCTCTGTGGCCTCAGCAGACACTTTGCCAGCTCCCTCAGGAATCGGCCCCGCGCGCTAATCCCGAGTTTCGATGAACATCTTCATTTCAGGACCGTATCTAGAACACACCCTGTTTTACCAGGCACCCCTGGGGGGGGGTCCGAGGGTCCCCGGGGGTCCAGCCGCTCCTGGATGGAGTTCCCAGCCCTCGTGG